GAAGGTGACTCGTGATTCTCTTTGAAAATTACACTGGAAACACTAATTTTCCTAATTTCTGAGCCATGTAAACAGGGCAACCAACTTTGTATTGTGAGGCACTGGCTGGCAGGATTGTGGACGATGTGTATGTGTCACCTAGGTTTCTCACTTACACATGGTGAGGGGCTTCAGGCTTTATGGCTACTGTGGAGAAAACAAACTTTGTTTGTTTAGACTCCTAATAAGTTCTGTTCTGGGGCCTGCAGCCCGGAGGCTTTGTAGAGCTTTTGGTGGGATAAGGCCTTTCCTGGGTCCACATCTTTTGTGTCAGCTAGACCTCATTATTGATCTCTATAGTCCATGGGAAATTATATATGTGAGTTGACTTATGCAGGTCGCTCTCTCTTTCTCTGGAAGTCTGCTGCTGGGTGAAAAGAATGTGTGCTGAGAGAACACTAAGAAAGTAGGAGGGCATCTTCTTAGTCAGAAACAGACAAGCAGATGTTTTGTTTTTTTTATGCTATGGAATTACTGTATCAAGCCTTCCTCTATTGAAACTATGTTTGCTGCCTTGCTGAAAAAAGGACAGGACAAACCTGCTTGGACTGTTCCTACATTTCCCTGTCTTGTACATGGTTTATAGCTGCCAATGCTAGTTGAACATGTTCCCTTACAAATTGGTGCTTGGATGCTAGCAGCTCCTTAAAGACGTAGACACCTACTGCTGAACAAAATGGAGGCTTGTAAAACAGTCCATATTAGTAAATGCTAACCCTCAAGGGGAGGACTGCATAACTGCCCAACACAACTCTAGCCCACTGCTGTCTTTACAACAACAGGCACTGTTATTTCTACACCTGTAAAGCTCGTGCAGAGCGCTTTACAGAACATGGGAACAGAGCTGAACATGAGAAGCTGCCCGAGAAGTAGATGGTTGATAAACTGGCACCCTTTTTAAAAGGGGAACCCCAAAAGGCCTACTTTGATTTATACTCTAAGGATGTCAAAGAGTATCATAAATTTAAAGGCGAAATCCCAGCCAGGTCAGGTTGACCATAGCTGTCTGAGCACAGTGTGTGTTCACATGAATATGAGCCTGGGAGACCTCAAAGGTCCCAAACGTATCATTTGTTCCACATTACAAACAAGTGGTTTCAACTGGGGGTACTCAAGCCTTCTTAGAATGTGGAGTGAGTTGTGGAATGGACTGCACATCTGTCATATTAATACAGACAAAGCATGTGGTTTAGCCACACACCCTTGGACAGACCCTTGGGTCTATCTCTTATTTAAGTGTTTTAATTACATTTAAGATTGTACATCTTAGAAACAACTCTTTATCAAGAATTCATATCAGAAACTACATTAATAATATATGGTTTAGTTACATTATACACTCTGCCCCAGCTTTATCCTTTTCATTTAATTAATTTAGGCTCCTATGTAAACATTTACATAACTGATACTTTTTATGCTGCCTATGATAATAACCAAACATTTCTTGAAGTAATACTAAAGGCTGGGTGTTTATTATTAAAGGATACATTAAGGTAAAAAACATCCAGTATCTTTGACAGTGTCCCTCGTCCCCCCCACACTTACCTGTGAACACCACTGTCACCGCTGCCGGTCAACGAAAGAATCCTCTGTTCCCCAAACTTCCTGTTTGCGGGGGAGAATACTGAGGGCAGAGGAGCCATAGGCTCCTTATGCCATCAGTCAATCTGTTGGGAGGAGAGAAGGGTGTGGCCTGCCGCTTGCTATGTTTGTCTATGGACGCACATAGCTACTTGCAGGCATGGCCAGGAATGTGGACACGGAGGTGCCTCCTCCGCAGCCAGCTAGCTGATGGAGGCACCCGCACAAGGGGTGGGGGGAGAGTGATTTGGGGAACAACTAGAGAATCTGGAATTGAAAAGTTTTACACAACAGGAATGTAGGATTTTTATAAGTGTGGGCCTTCCATTCATAAAAGTTTAAAAAAAAAGACCTGAAGGCTTAATATCACCGTGATACTGGTGGTATTGTAGATTATATGAAAAGGTGCTGATTATGATATGGCAGTGCAGATTAGTCACCGGAACAAAGTGAAGACAGGATATGATATAGAGAACCTAAGTAATAGTAGAGCTTTTCACCCAGAATCTCCTGTGTTTTATTGGGGGCACCTAAACATAGAAGGATAGCTGATATTTTTCACCCAGTTCAAAATGTACTGTTCACAAACTCCCTCCCTCTTCATATTCTACTAGTTTTTTGTCCAATTAGTATATATCAAGAAATGTAATATATTAACAGTGCGTAGATGTGGTGGATGCATTTGATTTCCTTTTTTATTTATATGTACATGGTGATACTGCCAGTAATACACTTCCTGTCCTAGGGTGAGCATGCTCACTCACTGTATCTATCGAGGCGCAACGCTGTCACCATAGGACAGGACTCTAATAACTCCTTTCTCCCCTCTTCTCTATAAAAGGGGAGTTGTTATGTAGATCTAGCAATAAATAGGAACAATGTAACTGATAAGAATGCAGCACAGGCAGTTCACCGTACAAGATTTCTGACAGGATCACCAGGTATATTTTACAATTTCTGAGCAAAGAATCTTCCAATGTGGACACCTGTTGCTTTGACAACTAAGTGGGGATTTTCTCTTGCTTTGGAGAGATTTCCTCTTACCTTCTGTTTCTGGGGCAGGAAGTGAAGGGAAATCTCAATGAGACACAGCAAAAGACAAAAAAACAGTGTTAACCATTCCCTACTCTATCTCTAGCTTTCAGGGCTCGGAGCCATATTCTTTTCTTCTGAACAATGCAAAGAAAGATGACTAGAAAGATAGGCAGAAAGAAAGAGAGACAAAAAGAGACAATCCTTAGAGCGTAAACTTTTTTTAAACTGATCACAAATTAACCTCGTGGTTTTATTTTATGCAAACTGCATTTGGCACAATGTACTAGCACATAAAATGCAATGAGTAAATCTAGAAAACTATTAATTTCACTGTATGTACTGTGTCATACTGTAATATCTGCTTTTTCTTTATCAGCATGAACTTTAACTTTCTAGAAACCACTGCCTAAAAACTAGATGAACAGTCAATTCTAGTCATGGTCCATTAACATGAAAGAAGAAAAAAAAAAGGATTTAAAGTGACATTAAACCCTCAGATTTTTTACCATAAAACAATACTGTAATGTGTGCCTTACTGTAATCCATGGTAGTTTCCCTTCTCTTTGCTGCTCTTCCTTTTATATCTGTATCTCTTCTCATGCTGTGGGGAGAACTTCCCTTTGCAGCTGAGTGCCTCTTCCTGTAGTGCTGGCTCAGGTTGTGAACCTGCACACAGACACCATGTATCCATTCCAGAGACAAAGCAGTCTGCTGCAAAACAGAAGTTCTTCCCAGCATGAGAACAGATACAGATTTAAAAGGAAGAGCAGCAAAGAGAAGGGAAACAACCATGGATTACAGTAAGGCACACATTACAGTATTGTTTTATGTAAAAAAATCTGAGGGTTTAATGTCACTTTAAGTTATTGCACTCTTCCTTTCCATCTTCAGCCATGCTGGCAATATAAGGTTTGGTGCATGGATTCTCATTCCACTTTCCATGCTTGAGCTGTGAAGGTTCCTCTTTGCACTGCTACCTGCTACTTTGAGATATCTAAGCTTTTGCTTATGATATTTTCCTTAAAATATTGGTATGTCAGTTTCAGTGACACTGCACATTTCTGTAATATTTCCATGTGCATAAATTAAACAAAATGATAAAGTAAATCTTGAATCCAAGTGTGCTGCATCTGAGATCAATGGACTCTACAGTTTTAGGCAACTGAAACAAAATGTGAGCGGCGCTGACAGCCACTAAATCTAGCAAACAACACCTTGTAGTAATTGCGCAAAGACTGATGGATGCACCTCCAGTATGTTTGTTCACAATGAGCTGGTGCTTCTAGTGCCGCTAAATACATCTGCCAAGCTAGAGGAGCAGAAAAAATAACCTAATTTCTAGCACTTAAAGGGTTCAAGGCACTTTGCACAATTCTCTGTAACTTTTACCACCTTGGACCGATGATTTTACAGTCTTAAAACGTATCAAGAAGTGCATTCATATATGTGGCAAACAACTGGTTTGAGACAGGAAGGCACGCAGGAGTCAGGTCATCATTGAATAACACCACCCTATTGCTTAGAATAACCCAGCTCCGTTTTGCCTCAGTGTAAGAAGACCATATGGCACAAACGGATTTCAATGGAAACATGGAGAAATTGAGCATTCAGTACATTTGGCTGGTATATCATGCTGTGTAGCATGATAGCCTCCCCTACATGAATATGGCGTATATTTGATGTCTTGTCTTACTGACTATTCACTCCCATGGAATTACAAATGCTTAAATCACAAGATCAGAACCACAGTTGACCATTAGTTAGCTGAACAATGCTAAGGTCTTAGAAAATGAAGTGGCATTATTGTGCTGGTTTTGTGAAACACATGGTGTGGGAGTATCCTCAATGGATGTTTCTGTGCTTGTGTGCAACCTCATCAAGTCTTCTTTACTTCAATGGGAAAACAACAGATTTAGCTTTTGTTTAAGGCTCAAAACTGTTTGGTTTTTTTTTTCTTTTTCTGTGACTTTTCACCATTAAATATTGTTGCTGTGCACATTCATCCTCCACTGGAACATAGGGCTCAGCTTTTCAGTTTATCTGCCTTTAGTATTGCTTTTCAAGTCATCTAGGATTTCGCCGTGGCATCAAAAGGAGATCTGCTAAAATAGTGCTCTTTTACATTCCCAGAACATGCGAAAACTAAAGTATCATCGTTGACTTATAAGTCAAGTGATGCCAAGTTGGTCCTGCAGGACGCCATTGGACTTGTCAGTTTGTTGTGAGGTACCCTTTGTGGGTAAGGCTCAGGATCTCTGAAAACTGCTCTCAGCCATTGAGGTACGGTATGGGGCAAACATGTCACACATCAAAATAGTCCACCGGAATAGATCTGCAATTGGTCATCAGGCAAAATACATTGTGCTTAATGTGTCTTGATGAACTTGCACAGCCTTAGCTAAGGCCTGTGGATCCCTTCCATTGCTTTGTCCAGAGATGTGGCTGCCTTCCCCGCTGGAAAAGATGTAAACAACCATCAACCCCTATCTGAATAGAAATAGCTCCAAAATTTACTCAACTCCAATGGGTAAAATAGATCATAAATAAAACATTTATTATATGAAATATAGAAGGCAAGATGATTGATAAATGCTCTTGTAGTATTATATTTGAGTGTTTTGAAGTGGTTATACATTTTGGTGAGTAGCATTTATGTTTTTTGATCACCGCAATACGATTTTGATTTAGCTGAATCTTTTTTCATTAGATTTCAATAAGTAAATCCTAAACAGATCCACATACCTGTCATGTTCCTTATCAACCAGGTGGTATCGTGCTCTAAAAGCTACCAGTCGAGCATAATATGCAGGTGCAGGTATGGAAACAGACCGCGTACAACGAACATACGTGTGACATAACTGGTAGGTGAGAATCTGAAGTTCATCAGCTGTAAACCGGTTATCATCCCAAAGGACATAATAATGGGATGGACGGCTGGTGCCCTACAGAACAGAAAATGGTATCATTAATTAGTATAGGTATGGGTCCCATTTTTGAGAAATATTGCTGCAACAATATGTCCTCGGTAGCCGGTGCCCCTCGTTTTTCAGCAAATTGTAACCTTACAGTATGTATGCTAGCCAATTCATTCTGAAATGGAATCCTTAAACAACATGATCTTCACCCCTTATTATAATCATTTAACTACAATCCAAGAGAACTTGACATAAATTACCTGGATACCCGCATGACTACACAGATAAAAATCAAACTCAAATGGATGTGTAATATTGGTGTCAACAGTTGTTCCTGCTGGAATGTTTCCACTTTTTCCAATCTGTATGCACAAAAAGAAAAACATAGCAAAAATGTCAGACAGCGTACATATTATTTAAAGCAGTAAAAACACAAGTATTAACGTAAAGGTTTTTAAACATGAAAAATCCATAAAGAATAGCTACAATTATGCCTGCGCAGAAAACAAGTTGTGACAGTTACATTACTTTGGTGTGCATCCTCCTGTTGTTGTAGTTGATAAAAGGAGGCTAAACAGAAATACAACTGCTTGACATCATTATTTCCCACTATACTACCATTTTAAAGAAAAAGTATTGTATTTTTATTTAAAGGAGAACTCTGAGGTGAGTGATTTTTACTCACCTCATAGTTCTAGCCGACCTGTGACAATGAAACTGTCACAGGTCGGCTCAGTAGATCGGGAGGTGAGCGAACACATACCGGTGTTTGCTCACCTCTCGATTCTGTCACGGCAGAGAGCCATGACAGGGGAGGGGCTGGATTCCCCCCTCCCCGCTCCGATCCTCCAGCGCTGACTGGCGGAACGGACGGGGTAGGGGGCGGGTACAGCTGGCCCTGCCTCTAGATAGGCAGAGCCAGCTGTCACTCACGCAGCTGGGCGGATCCAGACATAATTGTCGGGATCCGCTTCAGCTGCGACGTCTCAGTATACCGCAAGCTGCAAGAATTCCCCTTACTTTCTGTCTTGGTGATAATGGTTGTTAGGATAAATAAATAATCTGCACAGCGAGTACACAGACAGCAAGAAAAATTTGGCAGAGGATCCAACTCTTTGTTACCCTTTTCAAAACGAAATTTTCTTTTGCCTTTACATACTTAAATACAAGCTGCTTTCATGATTTAGTGTATGCAAATCAGGTTGGCTTTTCTATGGCTCACCAAGCGTGCAACAACCTGATTTGTACAATCTCACTTAGATCTACCAATAAATATGTAGTGCAAGGCCCTGCTTGACAGGATACAAATTGATTGGATGGATTAGGTAGGCCCTCATATTGCATTGTTTTGGTAAATCTAAAGTTGATTGTACATAGATTGTATAGAAATATTGTAATTAGTATGGTGAGCCTAATAAGATCTGCACTTGTTGATTGCTTCCCGAGACTGACTTCCTCTCAAGCTGGCCATACACCTTACAACCACCGCACGACCTTCGTTGTGCGATGGTTGTAAGGTCATTAACATTTCGTACGACCTGCCCATACTTGCCATCGTACTTGCAATCATCGCAAGCCCTCCCCGCTGAGGGGAGGGCTTGCCGATGATTGCAATGCTGAGCGGGCTTGCGCACACCGGCCCGTGCGGCTTTCGTCTTCCGAGCACGCTACCGACCCGCCGAAAATCGTACGATTTTCGGCAGGTTTTCCAGCGTGCTAGGAAGACGAAAGTCGTGCAACCGTACAGTAGAAGCGGTCGCCCGCTGCCCATATACATGCCGATTATTGTACGATCGCGGGATCACCCGTGATTATCATACGATAATCGGCAGGTGTATGGGCACATTCATAAAGGAATAATTACAGGAGAGTAGGAATGGGTGCGTCTACAGCCATGGAGCATTAGAATCACACTCCCCACCTGCTGGCTGCAGAAGGAATAAACATGAAACATTTCATATTTAGATGTCTAAAAAAAAATTCAAAAATTGTATATTTAACTCCTAACTCCTAAACATAATCCATTTAATAAACAAAATTTATGAAAATACACCTTAACTCTGTTCAAAATGTATTCCCTTCCAAAAAGCTTCTGAATCATTTTCAAATTTAACCATGGGAATTATAAAGGCTTTTATATAAAACACCTCACAATCTGTACAAGGAAACTCAGCGAGACGTCATATGCAGGTTCCATTATTATGCTGAGAAAGAGGAAGTGGTGAGGGAACCAAGAGAATCAGAAACACTGATTTCAATTGGGCTTTCATTAAAGTTTACCTGAATCTGGCTAAGAAGAGACTAGACAGACTATGGGCCTTGAAGCTACTCTTAGAACTGCAAAAGTTTTCTACAAACGTGGGATTACCTGTGCTGTTAATCAGCAGTGGAGGACCTGAAGGAGAACTTTCTCCTTCAGTTCCCTCCTCTGCTGATTGACAGGAGGCAACGGGTGGGTGCAATAGCCAGCCTGCTATTGGTAATTGCAATAGGCAACAGCAGGCTGGCTATTGCTCCCAGCCACTGCCTGCTGTGTTTACAGTAAGCTGCCTCAGTAGGCAGCTGTCCTTCTCCCAGCTAAAGTTATTGAAGTGGAGCCGCCTCCCTGATTGGCTAGAAAGCCGGCTCAACTTGCTGCTAAGCAGAGTGGCTTCCTAACCAATCAGGAACCCGTGCGGGACGTCATGATCCGCCTCCCTGATTGGTTACAAAGCCAGGCTGCCTAGCAACAAGTGAAGCCGACTTCCTAGCCAGGAGGCGAGTCATAACCCACCATCTAGCTTCCTGATTGGAAAGGAAGACGGCTCCATGCTCCCTTGGCACTGCCGGTCAGATGGAGATCTCACTCTGACCAAAAGTTCTGGTATCGGAGCATTTGGGCGAGTACGAGTATCGGCACCGATATCGTATTGGTATCGGCACTGATAGTATCGGTGGATCCCTAGTTAGCAGTCATATAGCCACAGCTAAAAAAATTAACACAAATATTTTATATATTATATATAGCTTCAAGAAACTTAAAAAGCAATACTAGAGGTGCCATTTGGTATGCGTAGCCTTTCCATCTACTTTGAGGTTCCTCAAAAGAGAACTTTAAACGACGTACTATTGTGGAACTAGAAGTCTGCAACCGATTGGTTCCTGATCATGTTATCACCATGGCAACTAATCATATGATCGCATGGGTTTGTTTACAAAAGCGTTGTCTCAGCTGTCACTGTGCCTCACACAGAGAGTGGCAAAGTGACAGTTGAAGGGAGTAGGCTGTAGCAATTACAGTGTAATACAGTTGTTTAAAAAATAGATTACAAAAGTAAATGTAAAATGTTCTTTTTTTGAACATTATGTCCATTTTTAGCTTTTAATAGAAAACAGTGTTCTAAATAAAATCCCTATTTTATCCTTACAAAATTATTTAGGAAGGCAAATTATTAAGTTCTAGTTACATTACGCAATGCATACTGATGCTGCTAAATTTGGTCTGGGTAGCTAGGTTTCAATGGTTCCCGGTCATGAAAGGGTTAAATATTAATGAAGATTAAACCTGCAAACCTGAATGATAAAAGTGCTGCTTATAAAATGGGTTGCTTTCAATACCTGTATCGGCACCATCTTGGCCAGATTATTGTACTTTAGCAAAAGAACCATAGTTAACATGGCACTAGCAATATATATGCAAGGTATGACTTACCCGTTCACTGCGGTCTGCACAAAACAGGCGCGTGTGGTGCCGTTTCTGCACTACTACGTAGGTGATACCTGGCTGGTAGTCTTTCTCTAGTTTAATACAGGCATCTCGAATAGCCAGCAGCTCATAGTGCAATATCTGAGAGAGGAGGACACACAGACTTGTGACTTCAAGCTGCCTAGTGACCAAAAAATCAGAAACACCATGACTAACTATATATTTACCTGTGGAAGTTGTCCTTCTGGAACACCATCGCGATAGAATATGATCCGGGTTGGTTTGAAGCGAGTAGATTTATAGAACTGGATGAGAAGCTCCCGCACCATATAGGACAGGTCCTCAATAATTTCTTGCCGAGGGCGCTGTACTCTCACTGTGGCACAGTATCTGCTTGGATGAGCATCCATGCTGCCTACAACCTATGTTCATTCAAAAGTTTATCAGTGCCAAAGAAGAACAGTATTTCAAAAGATGTCTTCATGTGAAACACCGGCCACCCTCCTGTGTTACATGGATGCTTCTTTACCTGGTTTCCCCAGCCCTTTCCCCCTCTTTTCTATCTGTCATTTTATCGTTTATATTTCTACATGTGTTAAGCACTGGATCAAGTGCAAGAGGACTACTTGTGCAGTAATATTTTATTGTGTGACATAGTTCAGCCCATACCTCATAAGGGCCGTGGCTGCAGCCAGGGGAGCCATTTTATTAGTGTATTCATTCCCCCCTGCTTGGAGCTGCTTTGAATTGCTGATATATGTATTTTTTCACAAATGAACTTCTACAATGTACCGTATGTGTTATTTTGGAAATCTGAATAAAATGTATTGATAAGGAAAAAAGGTATTTATTTTTTACAAAAGCGGAGTTTACTAAGCTAGGTGCACTCTCCTCAAAACTATCCATCTGGGAGTACTCTACATAATACTCACAAAGTAAAGGTTCTGTAAAGCTAGCCAGACTCTGGTTGACTTTGTAGTTAGCAAAGTCATTAAACATCTTTTTTTTCAATCTAACTATGTAACTGGTGATTTTTTTTTGTACGGATTACAAAATATTAGTAACAGTCTTGTGCAACCAATAAAATCTCTTAAATATGCAGGAATTCATCACATCTGTGGGGTTGTGTAACTGTTTGAGGCTAACAGCTAAACACTAAAGTTGATCACATTTTAAAACAACAAACTGTCTACAGTCTAAGGCCAGCTTATAACTAAATGATGATATAAAGTCAATATGTTTATGATAATATGTACTAACTTTAACTTCTAAGAGCTTTTCTCACCGCAGTAATGGAAGGCTTCTTGCCATCACCTGCAGGCGGATGTGTGACATCTGCTCCAAGAAAGATGACTGGCTGCTGGAAGACTGCAGAGCTGTGATTAAGAAAAGGTTAGGTACACTTGTCAATATTTTCTGTGCCATAGCTTGGTAAATTCATAGAACTCAGCAACCAAGGAGTGAGGTCTATGAGCCACTACAATTTTTTTAAGGCACCAGATGTAAATGCATAGATATTAATACAAGCACCCCACAGTTAAGCACTGTTTGAAGTGTACTAGCTACTTGCTCTAAGGGGAGCAATTATCACTGAAGTCCGAAAGGAATATCACAAACACAACTTTACAGCAGCTTTTTAGCTGCTAGCACTCTCAAATGTCAGAATTAGTGAATGTATGTCTATATGTGGCTTTGCATGTATGTTATGAGATCTAGTCAAGAATGCGTTTACTGTCTAACATTGAAAATACCGTCTAACATTGAAAATACCAGACTATCAAAACAAAGAAGAGACATAGGAAGAAAACAAAAAAAAGAGGAGAAAAGGGGACACTATAATAACTGGTAAAAGATATTTTAGACCGCCTGTATATAACATACACAAACATCACTTACTGCCCACAAGCAGTATGCACACAAGCTTAGTGTGCAGTGCCCATAAGGCTATAATGTTCACTTAAGGTTTCATTCACCCATGCTTCAAATGATGTGCTTTTAGATGCATCTGTCCTTTGTCCATTGAAACAGTCTACTGAAGTAGCCAATGAGATTTCAGCAAATAAATGTGTCTTGTGTTTACCTGCATTTACATGTGTTTTGATGCCATTAGAAGTTCAAATCAATTTCAATACATACTCTACTATCTGAACAAGGGAATCAAAATAACTTTGTATCAGACAAAACAAAGACCATCCATGTAATTTAACCGCTTGCAGACCTTCTACAGTACATTAACATCTTGTTATATTGATTTGCTATGTTAATTTTTGATCTGAAGCTAGGAAAAAAAACTTACCGTTGATGAGGCACTAAGATGTTGTTGATCCCACCTAGTTTGACGTTGATTTTCAGACACAGGTTGCTGAGAGTCTGTGGGGAAGTCTTTACCACATTTTTCACTTGGACACACTGTGTGGCCATGCCAAGCAAGGTGTCTCCAACACGTTTCACTTCCGCTGGAATTGAATTAATAAACATTTAATGCTGATACTGTACTTTTTTTTTCCACTGCTTTTCCTTTGTCATTTTTTGTTTTGTCTTTTTTTGTGGAAAAACAAAGAAAAATGCATACATTGTATAAATCATGAATGTGTAATTTTGATAAGGATGTACACCTCTAATTAAAGAGTATATTAACCCCTTCATGACTGAGGCCCTTTTTTCATTTTTTGCACCCATGTTATATTCCACATTTTAGGCCTGAAAATGATTTAAAACCCCCCAACATTATATATTTTCTGAATGCCAAGACCCTATAGAATAAAATGGTGGTAGTTGCAAATTTTTATGTTGCGCAATATTAGCGCAACTCCTTATTAAACCCCAACATTTAGTGAAAAATGTAATTTAATGCCCCAAAACACAACAAAATACCAATTTTTTAAATGACATATAAAAGATGAGGTTACAACGAGTAAAACAATACCCAACATGCATAGGTTACAAATTGCGTGCGTCCGTGAAACGGCGAAAAACTGCAGTACCCCAAAAAGTCAATAGAAAACGCTTTAAAAGCCCCCACAGGTCATCAATTTAGAGATACCCCAAAATACTGGCCCTAGAATTATTGCTCTCACTCCGGCGTGTGCGGCGATACCCAACATGTGTAGCGCGTTCGTCGTTTTCATATGTAGGCGCACCCGACGCGTGTTTACGTGGCGACGCGCGTGCTCGCGGGGGCCTTTAAACATTTTTTTTTATTATTATTAGATTGATTTTATTTAATTTTAATTGAAATGACAGTCGGCTCTACAAGTTTAAACAGAGTCCCGCCGGCAAAAGTCGCCGGGAGTCTGTTTAAACAGCCCCGATGCTGGCGACGTACACTGTACGTCGTCAGTCACGAAGGGGTTAAAAAAACAACAACATCCCTATAACGTATTATCTCTTCTTCCACAAAAGGTCAGGCACGTGCAAATCTTTTATCCTTTTTGAAACAGAGAAATACTGTATGCTCATGCTTTACATAGTAAGGATAAAGAGGGAAAAAGGCAATTAAGTTCAATTTATTCTGATTTAGCTCTACTGACCCAGAAGAAAACAAGAAAAACACACAGTAAGGAAACCAACAATGGCAATATTTTCTTCTTGCTCTATTAATAGCAACTGATTCATTCATTCTAGTAAAAAAATATTTTATAATTTTATATATTAATTATAGTAAGAAAGGCATTCGATCTACAGGTAATGCCGTCCATCACCAGTCTCAGCAGCCTTACAACAAAGAACCCCTTTCTAAGCTGACCTATCGGTTCCTCTTTAGTGATATCGCTGACCTTAAAAAAAAAAAAGTCAATTTCTACTCCTAGCTTGAACTTCTTTCTACTAAACAATATTTTTTCAGAACAGTTCATACAAAAATGTATTAGAATGGTGGAAGTGCTCCATAACCATTGCACCAGACTCCCATCACTTTTCTGCACTTGTTACATTTGTTGACTTAACCCCAAAAACAACAAGGGATTATCCAATCTGGCACACCACTTCTATAAATCACATAGGATTTAGCCAGTATTGGTCCAGTAAATACCGACCAAGCATGATGAATTACACCCTGTATAATGAAGAACTGTGACAAAAGAGAGTGAGTGTTGTTAAAAGTCAAGTCCTGCTATTATCTGGAAGGGAAAGAAACACATTGCTGCAATAGGCAGCCCATTCTATGTCATTAAACCCTCGCTTTTAAACCAAGTAAAATATTTTCTCACATACAGTCCGGCAGATTGAAGGCATGAAGAAAACACTAGGAGGGGAATTTATCAAAAATGCAGCAGGCGAAACCTGAAGAAGTTGCCCATGGCAACCAATTAGCTTCCATCTTTCATCTTCAAAGCTTAACTGAACAAACTGTTACTATGTAATAGACAAAACCTGCGCAAATGAAACAAAAGGACCAAACAGAATAACCCGACTAGTTAGAAGCTGCTATACTCAGGCGGTAAGCCTTATGGGTTAATCAGTGCCTTTTATGATTGAGATTTATAGTTTGCAGTGTGGATGTTTGCATGTACGAGTTGTCACATGTTATGCACCTTTATTTACACAGCGTTTTGATTCATTTACATATAATTCTTAGTGAAGATTATGTTTGACACTTTATTGTACTATGTTATTTAACACTATAACCCTATATCTTTGGGTGTATCACCGAGAGGCTTTTAGCGCTGTACCTTGCATCGATTAAACTGTTACTATGGGCAGTATGGCACCAGATTCTGTCTGCTCCAGTTTTGATAAATTTCCACATAGGCAGATATACTGTATTTTTTTCCCCACAGGTTAGTTTTTATTGAAAAAGGAAAAAAGATCAGATACAGATACAAGTAGGATTTCCAAAAATGTACCGTGTCATCTGGGAGAGAGATATTAAGAGCAAAAGATTTTGCAAGGTTCATCTTGAAAGGCGATAGCGATGCAAAATCTTCAAGGGCCTTTCAGAGATTGGGAAGAGATATCAAGGGTTGAGTTAAGAAACATATACTGTATTTTAACCAACTTTTTCAGTTCTCTTACCATATACTGGTGTTTTTCCTGGCAGTATTACAATAATGAGCTGGAGCCCAGAGTAAGTGTTTTTGAGGTGTCTGAACATTGGCTCAACACTGTCCGCGCCCTGCGCGTATTTACAGAAACATGGCTGACCCTGGATGGGCATCCCTGCATCTTTAGAGATCTTCCTCAGCTGGTCTGTAAAATTCCTGGGAAATTTAAATGAAAACAAAACTGACCGTTACTGGCTTATTATAATGTTAGTTTTTGTTTACTTTTTAATTTTACATATTACACCCAAGGGATGACAATGTAAGAATGGTGAACAGTCCTCATTGGTTAAACATTTGCATTGGGTTCCCTTCAGGTCCTGCTCCTGACTAGTTGATGTTTTAACACAGATGATGATTACCTATTAGGTCCATCTGAGGTGCAGTCCTGAGACAGAATTGGGTTGTAATAAAAGCAAAACTCCAGGCAGATATAAAAGTTGAAAGGTTGCATCTCTATATTCATTAATAAATCATTAAATGTATTTTTTAAACTGCAGGCAGTATAGGTACCTGAAATTTATATGGCATCTGCCTTTTGCAATCCCTGCAAGGCAAAGATCAGGATTGATGGAGAAGAAGCAAAATGATCCAGTCAGCTGTGCTGCACTGCTCATGGGCTAAAAAGATGTACAATACAATGGCAGCTGCCACCAGCTGCAGCTGTTCACGCATAATCGCACGTAGACACAGACAGCAGATCCAGCACTCTTTTTAACATGTAATTTAATAGCTTTAATAAAAGAATATGTTTAAAAAAAAAGATAAAAGGATTGATGTATACCATCCACATATATGTGGATTTAAATATTAGCCTCTGTAAATGCCCTCTCCTCTTCCTCAGTGTTTCATAGGTAAGCAGGTCTAAACAAGAAGAGAAGAAAGCTCAACTTCCATGATACAATATGAGATTCCTGTACAAGCATTGTCTCATCAGTATGTTGTAGTGCAGAGGACTTGGCTGCACATTAGCTGCTTTGCTATGGAAAGGAATAGCTTGATTTAAAGCAGCATGCTGAAATTCAATTAGATCCAAGTACTTTAACACATCATTTTCAGCAAACGTTTCTAGCTACTGCATCATATTTACACTCACTTTAGCACTTCTTCCCGGCATTGCTTCTGCGGAGCAAAGCAAGCAATGGCCCAAACTTTGATCTCAATGCCATTGTAGAACTGCTTTCCCCTCATGTCCCACACTCCTTGGTTTGGAGTTGCAATAGCTCTATTCTAGGAAAAGAAAAAAAAATATTGTGTATTCATATACTACCCTAGCTCGAATTGATATGGCTCATTGTGAAAAAGGGTCACATCTGTACTGCAAATCGCATCAAGCATACTGTATATTCAAAGAACCACAGCTTAACCAATCAAGAAATTCTAGATAAAACATAATTAGTAACACAGATGGATAATATGCAGAAAAAATGTTGTACCTACCGTAAAATCTATTTCTTGGAGTCCACTGAGGGACACAGGAACTCAAGTAGAGTTCGGTTATACTGCTCCCTACAAAAGGTTTGGACACTGGCAAACAGAAAAATTGTAAGCAAGTCCACGTAGGGTAGAACCTGGGTCCCTAAGTGGACTCCAAGCAAAAGATTTCATAGTAGGTACAAAAATGATATATTCTTTCTTGTCTTCAGAGGGGCACAGGAAAGCAGATTCAGCCAGGATGTTCAAAAGCAGTCCAGCTAAGTGTTGGGGAACTACTGACAGGCCCAAAGGAAGGAACTGGGAAATGTCTGCAACTCAAAACCACATGAAGGACTAACTCCCAAATCTGAACCAGACATAAAAAACCGGGAGAAAAGGGCTAGCAAAAAATAGTTACACTTTTTTTTAGCAGCTGAAGATAAGATATAACGAACCTTCTAGCATATTAGCAAAAAGTGAGGCATGCTGGGTAGAGAAGGGTTTATACAGGGGCTGGTTTCCAATTTTTCAGTTTGCCAGTGTCCAAAACAACTGTAGGCAGGAGTTTAACCTGACAGTATCTGAATTCCTGTGAAAAACTTACATTATATGGCCAAAAGTGAGTGGATACTTAACCATCACAGCCAGCATATCTAAGTTTGCTGGACATCACATTCAAAAATCAAGTCTTTTTTCCCCCACCCCTTGCAGCCGTAACAGCCTACAATCTTCAACACAAGATATTGTAGTTTGTGTGAATGTATACCCATCCAGCCAAAAGAATATTTGTAATATTAGGTACTGATGTTGGACAAGAAGACCTGGCTCACAATTGCCATTCCAAATGATCACCAAGGTGTTTAAAAGAGTTGAGGTCAGGGCCCTGTGCAGGTCACTCGAGTTTCATGTCAAACTATGTCTTTATGAACCTGGCTTTGTGCATAGAGTCACACACTGGAACAAAAGAGGGTCACCCTCAAAACTTTTGCCACAAGGATGAAAGCGCATAATTGTCTAAAATTGTAAAATGTAATTGTATACTCATTAACACTACCCCTTACTAGAAATACCTGAAACTTTTTTGGGGGAAGTGTCTATATACTTTTAGCATAGATGTGATGGTCAGGTGTCCACAAACTTTTGGACATATAGCGAATGCATCAGCAGTTTCTGAACCTTTAGGATTTAGCTGTATTTGTGTATGCATGACTAAGCAGTAATCTGATCTGATGCAAGTCACAATTTAGTCATATTAACAAAGTCTTATTTAAGGTTTGGGCTCCAGGACACAGAACAAGACTTACTGTATTAGGATTCTGAAAAAAAAAAAAAAAAGACTTGCTCCACATCAGCCAAAAACCCGGGAGCCCCTCACTATGTATGTTGAGAATCCTAGATGTCACATTCAGTGGTGCATTTTGGTTTTGTGCTGCCCTAGGTAAGACTAAACCCGAGCACCCCCCCCCATCCCAAATTTAAATTAGTCCCACCCCTTCCTGTTTAAGTCATTTTGCTTCTGACAGGTTGCGCTATCAACGTAGCGTGACACTCTAGTTCTACCTTTGCAATAGCCACCTTCTCCATTCCTGGCTTGATGGGCTCCCTAGTTCTGCAGCTACAATAACCATTCTCTCCTGCCCTGCCATGCTGTGCTAGTCTCTAGTTTTGCAGGTGCAACACCGATCTTCTGCCTTAATATGCTGGGCCCTCTAATTCTGTAGTTACCCATCTTCTGCTTTGGCCGCTGGGCTGCACGGAGCTTATAGGCTGCACTTCCCCGGACTCACCACCATGGAGGTGCAGATGAGCACGATGGCCATCTGGATCTCAGCTCTGGGGTCTCTGCAGAAGCTTCTCCATTGCCTGAAGTCAGAGATTTGGGTGCCGGTTTCCCAGGGAGGTCCGGCGCATGATCTGCCAGTGCATCCGGATGAAAGTCACACACACCAATACATTGCACAGCATGTTGACCAAGAAGAGGAAGGAGCTGCAGCCGCTATTGATGTTGGAGTAGGTGGCATAGGTGGACATGTTGGTCCCCCAGTCAAAGAAGCACCAGGTCCAGGAGTACTGGCAGTAATTTATAATATAATTTTTTTTTCTCTTACCTAACCCATTTTTTGGCACCCCCCTGGAAAGGGCCACCCTAGGCAAATGCCTAGTTTGCCTTGCAGTAGATACACCCCTGGTCACATTTACACTGTCCACAATCCTGCCATCCAAAGCCTTACAGTACTTACAATAAACTGCAGGTTCTGGTCTCTACATTAAAGTACAGATAAATAAATGCAACCATCTGGGACAATGGGTTTTCAGAATTCAAAGTCTTCCTGTAACACACCTCTTCACAAAGAACAAACAATAAGTAATTTATGTATGTCAATTTGTAGTTAGAATTGGAAACCATTATTATAATACTTTCACTTCTGAAAGCTTCACAGAGACTGGTAAGTTATTGAATAATTTAGCTGTTAAATAGTCGCAAATAATTCAGTTATTCTGAAATAATTCAATAAACTCAGTAATAATATGATAGAATTCTAAAAAGAAGTTAATCTGTTACTATGGGGTGGCCCAATGCAATAACATAAGTACTAGGCAGGTGGGTTGTGTCCCCTAAATCATTTAGAAGATTTGTTTTTGATTCTGAAAGTGGAGTGTTCTTAAAAGGGTGTATTGCAAGAGAGCAATATAATAGCATATAATCTCAAAAGAGATTTAATTAGAATGGGAATGCAGTGAATCTCAAGACCACAGTGCAACTAAGCAATTAACCATATCATACTATGCCCTATACATACCATTGTACTTATTTTATAAGGAAGATTCAGGTAACATTTATCAAACTTACTCGCCCTCCATATTGTAAAATAGGTGCAGGAAGGACCCTTCCTGTGACTTCTGTCATGTCATCTTTAACTTTGATACCAAATTCCTGGATATATGGGTCCAGATTATAACTTGCATTTTTCATCTGGTGACATAGAAGAAGACATATTACACAGACACAAAACAAACAATATAATATGCATAATATACATGATGTACACTACGAGTTGTCATGTTTAGTTTGCCTTAAGTCAGAGGGGAACTGTTATTATCTGCTGGGATGTGTATTAGTAATATAATACAATATCAATAAGCAAAAATCCAGACTACCTTGTGTCACCAAAGCAATAACCCTGACCCACTTAGTTTACAGGCTACTGTCGCTGTCCTGCATGTCCCTACTAAATATTTTATACATCTTTTTATAAGTCTCAAGATATTATCCTGGTGTACTTCACTAATGGTATATTTTTTTATAGAATTTGGATTATGTCATATAAACCAGGCCTCAAAATTTCCACTCGCCCCCTCGCAATTGGAGAGTGAAAATTGCGTGGGGGCGAGTGGAATGTTATCGAGGGGGTGCGCCGCCAGCGGGACCAGGGATGGAACACTACCGCTGCTGCGTTAGTGCCCCATCCCTGGTCCCGCCGGCGGCGCACCTCGATGACATTCAGTTCCGCTGTCTTCCCTGCGTCTGTCTTCTGTAGCTTCCTCCATCCACCTCAGCTGCCATAGGCTGGGAGGAAGATTGCAGAGACAGTGAGACACCCAGCCAGAAATGTATGGAGCGCGGGGAAAGAAAGTTTTATCTCCCTACATTCAGGATTTCTATACGGCCCCACCATCACCAGGAGAAAGAAGAGGGCACCTGAATACCATCAGCTAAGTGCACTGTAAGTCCCTTTTCTTTCTTCCTTTCACTGCTGACCTCTGTACTGTGCATCACACTGACCTCTGTACTGTACGCCACACTGACCTCTGTACTGCTGACCTCTGAACTATGCGTTACATTACTGACCTCTGTACTGCTGATGTCTGTACTGTGCGTCACACCGCTGGCCTCTGCACTCTGTGTTACTGATTTCTGTACTGTGCATCACACCGCTGGCCTCTGTATTCGGCATTGCACCACTGACTTCTGTACTGTGTGTTGTTACTGATCTCTGTACTCTGCGTCACACCACTGACCTGGCGGAGTTAAGGCCGGGGCAGGGTAGGGGTAGGTGGGGCAACTTGTGGCGAGTAACTTCTAAGGCCTGGCTAGTAGCTCAGGACTTGAAATTTCGAGCCCCGATATAAACTAAGCTCATCAGTCATCAATTCATGCTTACATTACAAGACTTCAAAACATTTCACATGAACCACATCAGTCTTAAAAGCTAAAAGTATAAAAAACGAGCAATGAGGTATTCTCAGATTCTGAGGCAAACTTCTTAAACATTGGTTACTACTTAATTTGTGGGTTAATTCCAATATTTGTCCATGATTCAAGTCAAAAACTTGTATTCCATCTCTTAGTAACTTATGATGACCACAACTAAAATAAAACCTTATAGAAAAAAACAGCATTCATGTTAATGAAAAGCAGGCAGGTTGCCTACTTCAGCCATACATGCTACTTCTAGCATGTGCCTGCAAGTTGTTCAAAGCTGCAGACAAGTGGGCAAGATTTGCCCAAGTCCTGCAGCATGAGATAGCTTACAGGCACAACCTGGCAGTGCACATGTCAGCAATGTAAATACTAGAATCAGACAGTGCATCAGTTAGGATGCAGTATGGTGAATTAGTGTTAGTATTGTGGCAATATAGGCCCTGGATCATGAGTTCAGTTCAGAGTGTATGTATGTATGTATGTATCTGTATGACTGCTAAAAAGCTCTTTTAAATATGTTTATATTAGATAAATAAATAAATGATCACAATAAACAGTAGCAGCACCACAGCAGAGATTACTTTTAGAAACACACACAAGAAAGAAAAAAAAAATGTCACTCACCAGCCTGCTGATCTCCTCCTGTCTGTCTGGGGCAGACCGAGCTGTTGCTTTGATCATAGTGGATGTCTGATTGTCAGTGAGCTTCTTAATACATCGTTGACCAGGTACAATGTTACAGACCTAGAATAATAATAGAAAAGGATTTTTGACTTCCGGTAAAATCTTTTTCTTGAAGTACTTTAAGGGACACCGCATAACAATTCTGGTACCTAGGGTTTTGCTGCTGCCTTATGGAGTATGGACACTAGCAAACAAATGCTGTAAGGACAGCCTAGTAGAGCCACTTCAAATCGTGCCTCAGTTTAGTAGTAAGGAGTATTAGGAGTGGATCATAAGAACAATACAGAAGGACCGGTGTCCCTTAATGTAAAAAAAAGGTTTTTACAGTAAGTCAAAAATCCTATTTTCCTAATTATACATTAATCGCTTTGCATGTGGAGCAATTTATCAATAACGTTAAAATCTAACGTTTTGGGGGCGTGGCTTACCTATGGCGGCGGCTGGACGTGTTTAACTGAAGCTCCCGCTCCATCCCCGAGTTGCTCGTGACACAAGGACACTTCGCCGGACTCCCTTGCTATCCTCATGGGGGGGAAAAGAGGCCAAAAGTCGGCCTCAGCCAAGAGACCGAATGCGGGCTCACTCAAGCGCCTATGGGCGGCGGAATCCCCGCCGGATGATCGCGGGGCCCTGCACGCGCCTCCAACCCTCTCGCCAACCCTCTCGGAAGACCGCCTAGATGATCACGCAAAAGCGATCAGAGAGCTCCAGGATCAGGGTAAGCTATCCTGGCTCCACACCCGCCAAGCGCTGTACAACATCGAAGACCAGGAGAACAGAAACGAGGTCTGCCTGAAGCCACAGGTGACGCGGACCTCGCGGACACGGTCAGGGGCATCCTCAATTCCATACTGGGTCGTCCCCCTACCTCTACTCTCCTGTTTGATCGGGCGCACAGGGCCTTGCGGCCCAGAGCACTGGCGGGTGAACTACCCCGCGACGTCATAGTGCGGCTCCACTACTACGCGGATAAGGCCCTGATCTTCACACACCTAAAATCCTCCTCTGAAGTGGACTTCGATGGGGCGAAGATTCAACTCTTCCCTGACCTCTCTCCGGAGACCCTTGCTCGCAGGCGTCATCTCAGACCCCTCTTGAAGTTGCTGAAGGATGCCCATATCCCATACCGATGGGGGTTCCCCGCCTGCCTTATAGCTACCCGGGAGGGTAAATCAGCGATACTGCGCTTCCCTGAGGAGCTGGCAGATTTTTGCACCAAGCTGGAGATCTCCATGCCGGAATTGCCTGATTGGGCCGACCGACCACCAGAATGGCGTTTCTCCCCCTCATCCCACTGGCAACAAGCTGCTCCGAAATCCCAGAGGGGCTCCCGGCACAGGCCTTCATCCCACTCTGCCCCGGGAGATTGATTTTCTTTTCACCGCCCTCTTGCTGTTTTACCACACATTGTTGCTCGCTTAGAGCTCCACTGAGGTGCCCTCTCCTGCCACCTGTCGGGGGCACCGGGCGAAGTTGTCCTTCATTCTTTTTGTCACTTGTTTGATCTGAGTTGGATCGTTATGTTATGGTTCTCTTCTTCACAACTGTTTGCTAAAAGTTCCAGCCAAGTATATCACATGTAATTTGTATGCACTCGGGGAGTGGGGGGAGGCTTCGGACGCACGTATAAGAAGTCCCACTGCAATTTTATATGTGGACTGCAGGCCCTGCCGTACGAGGCCCTCCACCCCCACTAGGCCATGCCTTCCCGGGGAGCCCTTGGCCCCGCGAAAAGGCATCTGCTGCCGTATTTGCGGCACTTAGTGTAAAGCAGAGGATTCTGCCCATGTATGGTCTTGTTCCCTTCTGTGTCCTCCCTGCCTTTGTCTACCTCCCTTATGTATGTACCCTATTTGTTGTGAACTTGCTCTGGTCCTCAAGGTCTTCTGCGGAGACCCCCTACGGAATATATCAATGGCGGCTTTAAAAATAATCAAGTATAATGTACGGGGCCTGAACTCTCCACGTAAACGCTAACAGATCCTGACGGAGATTGAAAGAAGCAAAGCTGACGTAGTCTTCCTTCAGGAGACGCACCTCTCCTACATCTCTCCGACATTGATTAAAGCCCGCCACTATCCGCTCTGGTACTACAGTGCGTCCCCCACTAAACGTGCTAAAGGAGTCGCTGGGATCCATGGCACATGCCACCACGGCCATTGCGGAAGTTTTCCGCAATTATTACCAGGACCTCTACCAAGTGAACGATTCAGATGATCCTATGACCACTGAGTCTAGATTGGAGAGAATCAATCTGTACCTTCAGCGAGCCTCCCTGCCCAGGGTGCCTGATTCCTCTCTTTCGCAGCTTGACGCTGACATCACAGAACTAGAATTTAAGTCGGTCATCAAAAGCACTCCACTGGGTAAAAGCCCGGGCCCTGACGGGTTCACCCTACTTTACTATAGACGCTTCCAAGACATCTTAGCCCCTCACTTTTGCTCCTATACCAACGCTGTCTCCAAAAATGCCCCCATGCGCCCAGAGTCCCTATCGGCCCACATCACGGTTATAGCCAAACCTGAAAAGGATCCCTCGAGCTGTGCCAGCTACCGGCCCATCTCCTTACTAAACGTGGATACAAAACTATACGCTAAGATATTGGCGAATAGGCTTTATCCTCTCCTTCCATCGTGGATACACCCGGACCAGGTGGGCTTTATTCCGGGTAGAGAAGCCCGGGATAATGCTCTCAAATCCATTAGCCTGATGCACGTGGCTAAAAGTCTGAAATGTCCCACTCTACTCCTTTCCACCGATGCAGAGAAGGCATTTGACAGGGTGGCATGGGATTTTCTCCTCGCCACCCTGTCCCACCTTGGTCTGGGGGTCCGGATGCTGGAGTGGATATCGGCACTCTACGCCAATCCCACGGCACGAATTCGTATCAACGGCTCCCTATCCCCATCATTCACCCTCCACAACGGTACTCGACAGGGGTGTCCCCTATCCCCCCTATTGTTCGCCATCTCCTTAGAGCCCCTGCTAGCCACCATAAGACAGAACCCCAACATCCAGGGTATCCCAACCCCAGCGGGCGAATTCAAATTAGCAGCGTACGCGGATGATGTCCTGTTCTATGTCCGTAACCCGCGTATATCTCTCCCACAAATATTAGCCTCATTAGACCAATATGGCTCTCTCTCAAACTTCAAATTTAACATGAGTAAATCTGAAATCCTTAACCTGAACGTGGCGGAAGAGGACGTTCGGGCCCTCCTCCCCCACTTTTCCTTCCAATGGCGCCCCCATTCCATACGATACTTGGGCATCCACTTGACACGTAAACTCTCAGACCTCTACCGTAGTAACTTTATACCTCTACTGACCCAGAAGTCTGGGCCCTCCCAGACTTCCGGGTCTACCACATGTTTTTTGTATATTACCTGAAAAATCCAATAAACCGAAATAATTAAAAAAAATCTAACGTTTTTGCTAGACAAAAACCCACATGATTATATATTTTCTGAAAGCAGAGGCCTGTACAATAAAATGGTGACAGTTGAAATATAGTTGTGCAACTGTTTAATAAAACTATTTCCAAGAAAATATACACTGAAATGAATTTTGATACACACAAACACAATTTTTGGGTAATATAAAAGATGGGGCGAGTCGTGTAAACATACCAAATATGTCAAGCCTTAAAACTGCACAGTACTGGCCTTGCCCCATAGGAGAATAAGCACAGACCAATAGTACACTCTGTGCTTGTGACACAGTAGAAACTTTCACAGCCCTACAAAAAAGCCATGACCACAGTGTTAAAGCATCAGTGCCCCTTAAGATAAGGCAGAGTTCACACACCAGGCTTTATGTTAAAAAAAAAAAAAAAAAAAAAAAAAAAAAAATAGGGGGTGGGTGGGTGTCAACCTTAGGGTTAGGGTGATGGCTAATTATCAAGACAACCAGGAACTGAAAAGCACCAGTTCAGAACCTTTTGAGGCATAAATCTTCCAGACAATCTTTGCCCCTCTGGTGGGCATACTCCTCCAGTCTTCAAGGACAGGGCTCTACCAGGCAGGTGCACCGTGGCCCTGGACCTGTAAAGCACCCTGCAGTTAACTCACACATTACACATTAGAAGAGCGCCTCAGCAGAGCCCAGCGCGTATAAGTCACATTAAATTCTTCCACACAGCAGGGTTTGGGTATGGCCTCCAAGGCTACGCTGATTATTAGCCGATTTGGAAAATTGGCAAACGAGCCCCAGTGGCAACTGAAAAATCTTGCTAGAAGAAAAAATATCTTGATAAAAGTAAGAAATGGTTTGCTTCTGTCAGAGCAGAGAGAAGACATCCTTTCTCCTATGACACTGAAAGAAGGAGAGGTTATACTAGCTTGCACTTACAGCTTTTCTTTGCCAGTGTCCAATCTACTGAAGGCAGCAGCATAAACCTATATACCAGATTTACCCTCCTGTGTCTCTTAAAGTAGAAATAAGATTTTTTTGTAATTCTCTGTCTAGTTTGCTCCTTGCTAGACAAATGGCTAGACATGGCCCGGAACGTTGCTATGTGAAACAGGAGCTTTACTATTTTGTTCTGCCATTCTTATGCAATAAAGTGGAAGAGCTTTTTTTTACGGAGAATTACCTTTGTGCGGATATACAACCTTTTTGCAGGTAAGCAACAGATACAGATCTCAATGAAGTGGTTTGGTCCACATATAATGTTTTAGGGCTTGTGCACACCACCGCACATGTATAGTGTGAACAGGGAACGCAGGAAACAATAGTACGGTGATGTGCAGAAAAATGTAGTGGACAAGACCTTAGAGATGTGTATGATGCAAGAATCAAGGTCTCACCTCCAGAGGTAGATAAGTGTGCTTCTGCTCCTGTCCCACCTGCAGGCATGGAAGGTGAGGATATTTTAGTTGTAAGTTATACTTCTGCTTGAAATATTGGGCTACTGTACACTCTACAGTCTGGCCACTCTCCAGCTGCAGTGGGAACCTAAGACACATAAGACAATATACTACTAAGTTTTCTCTTTCCTCACACTTAGCACAATAATTGGCCTTTATTATTACTTACGTCTGGTGGCTGGCCGGCCTGCGAGTAACATTACAAACTCTGTACTTTCTTTTCATCTGCCCACAGTGGGTGACTTCCACTTTCAAACCTGCCCATCAGACGACAAGTTACCCAGATTTCACACTACATCAATACCTTCAAAAATCTTTACAGTACATCTGTCACAGATAGAAGCACATAAATGCAAACCAGGCACTGCATGGTGCTGGTTGGCCTGACTTAGTTACAAATCCTTGCTGTAGGGAGCTACAGGATCCCCCTGCAGCATGCAAATTTTAACTTTATGGTTGGTGCTGATAAAACCTAAAGTAAACCTTTCCTTACAGAAAAACTACGTTAAAAAAACACAACGTTAAAGTGTATGAAAACCCTAACAGTGAACTTTTGTTATTTCCTTCCTTCTGGTCTGCTAAATACACCAATGAAAGTTTTTGTTATATCTGTTTGATAAGTGCAAAAAACATCTGTTGATCCTGCCAGAAATGTAATTAGTGGATAACTTCCTGAGCTTTGCTCTTGCTTGGGTACAAGGAGGGGTATGGATATGAGGAAGGGGGCAGGGGACGATGAGTAGCGGTCTCTGAAATTAAGTAGGCAGGGCTTAAAGCACGTGCTTTGAAATTCAGAGCCAAAAGGAGGAAGGTAGCTGCATACTACATTTGTGACACGTCAACAGTTATTTTTCTGTACTTGCAGCATATTTAAAAGGATAAAACATGGGGAAATGAGATGTAAAAAATAGGCATTATTTATTTATTTTGCCTTGTTGTAACTCTCAGGTGCCTTCTGTACAGCTACTGGCATGTGGCTACAGGTTGTTTCAAGCTGGAGTGAGTTTCAAGTGTCTCACACTGACAAGCTTATTCTTTGAGCTAGCCCAAGGCAGCTTCCGCCCGCTTCTCCAGGCTTAGGTCCACTTGCACACACAGTGCGCATATTAGCAATGGCTGAAAACACTAGCATTGAACTGTATTAGTAAAGATGCGGGTGCTAATCGAGTATTTATTTAGAAAGCAAGGACTTCCATTACCTATATTCATATTTCTGTATACTGTAAGTACAGTTATCCTTTAAAGCCTTTTTTTTTTTTACAATCAAATATAAGCAGAATGGAGGCTATTATACCTATGCAGTGCCTGAATCCTAATTTCAGCTTTGTGAAGAATTAAGGCTAAGAAGTGCTCCCAGTGCATTGGTGACTCTACCCCAACCTGTCTGTCTATCTCCCACACTTACTGCCTTTAGGCAATCCCTTAAGACTCATCTCTTCAGGGAAGCCTATCCCGCCTCAACCTAACCACTGAACAATCACTTTCTCAAACAATCATCCCCACACAGCTACCTCCTCATGTATCACTTGCCCCTCACTTTTAGATTGTAAGGGCCATCCTTACCATCTTGTCTTGAATTGTATTGTGATTGTAATGTCTTCCTTATATTGTAAAGCGCTACGCAAACTGTTGGCGCTCTATATAAATCCTGTATAATAATAATAATAATAAATCAGAAAGTGTCATATTGCATTCTCAATAGAATTTCAGAGATTCCCAAAATGACCAGCAGCAATGGAAATTCAAGTCAGTCAAATCAATCAGCAACTTGGGGTATCTGGTCTGCATTCACCTGTTTAGGAATAGCTGTTCTGATAGGTTTGCATTAACCAATATGTATTCCCAAATCCATGTTGATATGTACAGAGAAGCTGAAAAAAAAGTCCCTCTTTCTTATAGTAACTTTCAGATGGTATTTGTTAGGATGTAGTTCAATCAAAAGTGATACCGGTATTTCCGTTTTGATAGGACACCAATGGTCTATCTATCTCTTGGGGAAACTAGAAAGACCCGTTAGCTGGTGTATCTGGTTCAGACCTTATATCTCACCCACATAGAGGACTTGCTTCTAAAACACTCCAAAGATACAGGACACATGTGGATGATTTAAGCATGTCACATCTGTCCAAAGCTGAAATATCAGTTTTAGGTAAACTACTGGTAGCCATGCACGTGGCAGCTTTGAAAGGTTTCCATCAGCACATAAATAACAAGTAATTAAACAGTAATCTGTCACATACAGTTTACATCCTTTGTCAATTCTGAGTGACCAAGCAATTGAAACTGCCGCGCAGATCGATTGAAACCACCACAATGCCTGTCCATATTCACCCCAACATCATACATAATGTCACTCAAGACTGAGGAAGGATCATAAACCCACTGAGAGAATACTACAAACCTTTCAACTCAATGCAATAATTGTTTTTTTCAACCCAAGCTTATGGATATTTTCCAAAACTGCAGAATAAAATGTAACTAGTTTGTATAAGACAGTTACTATTTTCCCCCCCAATTAGCTCCACCATTCAAAAGCAACTTACCTTTGATCTCCTTAGTAAAGCGCACCCTCTGTGAGTCTGTGAGAGGTTTAGGTTGTTCATCTATGTTCCGAATATCCAGCACCTCACACATGAACTCTATTACTGGCTGGGCCTTGTAGAAGGCGGTAGCTGATACTGAAAAAACACAGAAATGAAGACTACTCAGACATAGAGAAAAGAGCTAGAAGATAATGCAATTCGCTTTAACCACTCACCACTCCGTGTCTCACCAAATGAAATAAAAATCATTCGTGTACAGTGCTGCATGGCAGAGTAATTCTCAGTCAAACTATCACAGCACTGAGAACTGAAGACAGCCAAGTAATGAATGGGTATATACAGGCTAGTATTAAAGTGATTAAAAGCACATATTAAACTATACAAAAGTGTGGTGAATACATATTCACATGTCCTCAATTAATGCAGTTTGATTAAAACTATTTCCACTTAATTTCTATTTAAAATGCACCTGAAAAGACAAGACAACTTTTTAAAAGTATATTTCAGTGTTATTTGGTTCCACTAACTTATACGACATAAAATGAGGAACATATGTTGTTCTGTTGCCTATATATAGCTTTGGGCTTTTGCATCTTTATTAAACAGTGCAGTGAGAACTATTTTTATACTTACCATCTATGTTCAGCATCATGTTCCACATTGCTGGGCGTACTGACTGATGAAACCCAAACCAAACCTCACGTCCACCTCCTAGCGGGTGATAATAACCCTCCGGAGGTGAAAAGAAGGACCGTCCTACTGGGGTATACCTGTAGAACAAATAATGTCATTCAATATGCACTAGGAACTGGTTTGCTCTAGGACATATTTCTCTCTAGCGACAATTTAGAAACAATAGATACATTTTCTCACCTCATTGAGGCCAGGTGCCTCATTGCTACATCCAGGGCTTGAACAGATTCCAGAGGAAGCTGAACTTGTCCACTTCCCAGAGCTTCATGGAGCATCCTCCAGCTTACCACTGCCATCCATTTTATAGACACTTTAAAGATCCTGTCCTTTCCCTCTCCTGGGATTGTCACCTCAAAATCAACCTGTGGATGAGTTGAGACTGAGAACACCATTCAATGTTTTGAAAGAAAAAGGGTGAGGTGACATGTTAATGTTGTGCTCTTCTCAGCCACTACAAAAGTACCACAATGCAGTGTTTAAGTTTTCTTTCACAAATGTTTGTTAAAATTTTAGAATAAAAATTAGTCAGAGCAATTAAGTGAGGCAGAAGCTGGAAAGTACATCAAACTGTGGAATCATAGTACAAAAAACAAATACTGGGGATGGGGTGGGGCAATGGTACAAAGGATATAGGAAAGGAGGTATCTTCATTCAGTGGGTTGGGGGCTCAGGCCAGTACTAATGCATTACTAAATTGCATGTTGGGAGAAAGAAGCCACCAAAAGAAGGCATCAGCACGTTGTACGAATATATACAAAGGAATTGTCAGTTGGAGAAAGCAATAGATTGAGGGGCAGGAAATGAGGGTAGAAAATAAAATTTAGTGAGAAGTTAAGGGGAACAGGGAAAGGAAAAAAGTGGGGAAAGGAGAGGAGAAAAGAAAACAGAGAGGATGGTGGCGGGTGGGGGTAGAAGGAGGAAAGGGGGAGAGGTTGTATTTGAGAGCTCAGGGGCATCCAGCATTTGAATAAAATAGAGCATAGGCAATCAGCTGATTTTTTAATGCCTGCTCCATCTCTCGCGGTTTGCCTCAGAGAATAAAGGAACACTTGGGATTGTTTTGATCTCTAATATAGAAGTATTGGAGGAGTACTGCAGTGAAAGTATGGACTGGGGCAATAAGTATAAGTTATAAGATACATGGTATGAACACCCACAAAGTTTAAAGTTCATAAACAGTTGACTATTATTGCCCTTTAAACCAAATTTTTTCCACGTTTCTGTATAAGAGACAGCTTAGCGTCATTCACTAAGGCCCATTTACACCACACTCACACATCAACATACATTAAGGCACATTGTGTTAGGTAGCCCATTTGTGTTGAATACGCTGTCAACGCACCTTAAAAGAAGAAAATATGTTTTTGTGCATAAAGATACATAAGGCACACACCAAAAAAATAGTCCTGCTCTTGTCAAAACATAGCACAATACACACACAGCAAGCTAGTTTGTCTGTTGTGACTCACAGCAGCATACTATGTACTGTATGGGCAATATGGTGCTATTAACAATAAATGTGTGTTGCCAGGTGTTACCACAAATTTTTTAAGTTCTCTTTATTCAGCACCATAACGTCTTCACATGTATTTACAAACACAACATTTTTTGTACTGCTTTGTAATGCAATACGCCTTACCCATGTGCACCATTCCTCTTTTTTCCTGGTATTCTACAAATCTGAGTGGCTGATATTGTTGCTTTGTGGGATTTGATAAGTACACACACTAGGGGTCTTCAGCTGACTTGAGCAATGCTAGGCTTCTGGTGTTTTGCTGTACCTTTAAGAAGAAAAAGGCTGCCTCCAGGTAAGCCTCCTCAATTTATACACTGAGATATGTTGCATATGTGAGAGCTAAGATAGTTTCTAGTTATAGACTACACTTTGCAGAGGTGCCCTGGTGGGACTGTGTGTCTTCACATACTATTTACAAATCTATGCAGCAAAAACGTTTTTGCCGACAGAAATGTGCCTAACTGGAGAAATGTTTTGCACAACGTGCCTTACGACGCTCATTGTGGTGTGAACAAGCCCTAAATACCACACCAACAGCCCCCATGAGCCTCTAAATGTATTTTACCCTTTCATGACCAATGGGCAGTGCAGAAACTGTATAAATGTTCTTCTTTCCATCATAAACTGGTTTTCGGTCACCAAAGATCTGGGGCTTGAAGTGTTGGACCATGTATTCCACAACTTCCCTACAGGATGACAAATAAGACAGTGTAAAGAAAATAAAAGTTTCACAGATGTAAAATGTGAAAGAATGGAAATCATACAGGAATTTACAAAACCCCAGTGTAAAATAGGATAATGGGTACAGAAGTTAAAAATTTAAATACTACAGCATAAACGTACAACTGCCATAATAGGTCACCTCATATACTTTTTGTGTTCAACGTTTCAGGAACACAGAAGCCCCTTTTATCAAGCCATCAAGTTGTCACCTTCATAAAGTGGGTCTTTGAGTCTTTAAAACTCAATGACATATCAGATGTAATGCTTGAGTAATGGTAATTATTTTTTGCGAGGAGCGCTGGCTCATTTTTATGTCGGAGTTTGAAATTCGTGCTTCCTAATAATGGCTTTGTTTTATTAATTAGTTATATAAAGAGTCTTTATATCTTTTTTTTTTTTTTTCTTTATTCAAAGGGTTATTGGTGTTAAAATAATGTTGTGTGATTTTAGGCTTTACTTCAGTTACTGGTGTAAAGTGTACTAAACAGAGTAGCTGTGAATTACCTGTTGACACGCCGGGGGCATTTATCAGGCTTGATATCGACCTCATAGTGGTAGACGTCAATCTTGGGAATGTCCACTTCAAAATAATTGGCAAGAAGTTTTATTGGCTTCCCGACTGTGCCAATGCCAGGTCGGCGTGGGGCTTGGAACACTTGCTGTAAAGGTGGAACATACCCAGTTTGGGCTGGCATGTGGAGAAAGAAAGGAAAATTACAAATTGACAATGTTTAGCATTACTATGCTGCAGAACACATTGGAGTCTTTATCTCTATATAGCAACTGAGAAAACACATCATGTAGAATGCAGCCAGAGAGGTGATTGTTAAAGGAGAACTATGGGATCAGTACTTTTCCCCATAGTCCTCTTAAGGGTTACCGGAGGACACAAACTAGTGTCCTCCGTCACTTAAAGCTTAGTATATCGCGAGCTACAGCTTGCGGTATACTGAGTCGCCGCAGCCGGGACGGATCCCGACAATACTGTCAGGATCCACCCAGCTAAGTGAGTGACAGCTGGCTCTGCCTGTCTAGAGGCAGAGCCAGCTGTACCTGCCCCCTCCCCCGTCCGTTCCGCCAGTCAGCACTGGAGGATCGGACAGGGGAGGGGGAAAGTAAGCGAGCGACGGTATGTGTTAGCTCACTTCCCGAGCTATTGAGCCGGCGTGTGACAGTTTCATTGTCACAGGTCGGCTAGAACTATGAGGTTGAGTGATTTTCACTCGCCTCATAGTTCTTCTTTAATATAAAATTAGATGTGTCTATTTCCTTTATGTATAAGATTTCTCCATATGCCACAGCTTCCAGGGATCAGTGAAGAAGAAAGCAGACCCTTTCAAGCAATAGCAGTGTACCTTGGAGACTCTCTCAAGATATTAATGTTTCACTATTTTCCTTCACAATGTTTAGTAGCCATTAGAATTAACAAAGCAAATGTACCTAACTCAAAGATATTTGTATCAATTAAACAGGTGTGATTTTACACTAATACAGAAATACCGTTTTTTTATATGTATATGCAGTACAATTCCTGCGTGGTGTGTAACACTGGCTAAACAATTATAATCTAATACAAATCCCAGCAATACATTATAGAGCACCATGTGTGGGAAAGCGTCCCTGTGCCGATCGTGGATGTGGGCGGGCGGTGAGTGTGAGGCGGGGAGGAGGTGCGGCGTGAAGAGCGTGGATGCGGGCGGGTCTGGCAGCGGCGAGTGAGGTGGGGAGGAGGTGCGGCGCGCAGCGTGTGTGGAGCGTGAACAGGGCCAACTGATCGGAAGCCAATTAATCGATTATTGAAAAAGTTGAGAACTTTTTCAATAATCGATTATGTCGATTAGTTGTTGCAGCCCTACTCTGATGTGCCATGAACGGCAAAGGTAGCAAAAAGAGGATAATAAACTTGCCAAAAAAATAAGCTGAAGTCTTCTGTTGGAAATCTTCATATTTCCAAAGAAGATGCAAACTACTGCAGTGAGAACCCCACCAACCTCATATCGCCAAACACTGTGATATATAAATCAGGACAGGACTTTTTCCCACAGGAACCCTCATTTTTACTCCTAGAACTTCTTCAGGGACCACAAATCACTAGTATTCCTCCAAAATCAGTACACTTGGGAGGAATCCTATACCATTACTACCACCAAACTTAGAAACTCAAGAAACACAAAGTAATACAAACAATAAAACAGCTATGGCCAATTCTATCATCACTTAAATGTTTATATATTTTAACAAACAATTAAAAAAAAAAAGTAAAACAAGCCCTTAAAGCTAAACTCCAAGAAAAAATAATAGTAACAATAGTCATAAAAGTAACTCTGGAGATAAGTATACTATACTCCGATGGTTGCTGCTCACTGCAAAATCCTCTCTTTATTGCTGCCGGGCTCTCATTGCCCCAGAGCAGCACTGGGATTTAAAATTCTGTTGATAGTTTATTCTGTTGAGTCACTTGATCTCCACCTCATCCATTCATAAAACATCATGTATTCATGGATCAACACCGCAATTGGACTTGCACTCTTTTCTCCGTTGCAGAGCACCACAATGCATTATAATGAGTTACCGTGTTTTGTGGTATGCTGCGACACAGATGCATTAAGGGTGCATGGGTTTAGTGCTTTAGCACTGTAATGCACCATACAACACGTATTAACATGCGTTACTGCAATGCATAGGTGTGATGCCAGCCTAAGTCAAAAGAAGGACACCAAGGGATCTGTCCAACTACACTCAAACTAATTAAATTTTTGGTGCCCTCTGTGGTAATACCACATCATAAGGGTGAACCCCAAAAAAACAGGGATGTAGTATTTTCTAAACTCCTTTTCTGTGTTTGTGATCTGTTAATGTGAGGTTAGACAGCTTAGCTGTTTGCTGCCTAGTGTTCAGGTCTATTCACAAAAGGGTGAAGAGTTTGGAGAAGACAGGAGAAGTGAACAATCTAGGACAACATAGCTGACCTGGAAAGTGAGCTGAATCGGAGAATTTTTCCAAATCAGCTTTATTGTACTAGATTGTTCACTTCTCCTGCCTTCTCCAAACTCTTCACCCTATTGTGAATAACCCTGTTAGTTCTGAAAAATGAAATCCCCTATTTTTATTTAACATAGACAATAAGATAAACAAAAAAAGAATGCTGCCCATATTGATGACCGCACATCTACTACAATAGTTGTCTTTGTAAGATGTCACTTGTGCAGATGTCCGCGGGTATTCAGCTCCATCTGTATTTTCCCATGGATTTCAGGGCTGAACTAAAAGAAAAAAAAACCACACAGCACACCCTCTCCCCTTCATACCCCCAAGAGTTTATACATCAAATTCCTGAGGTGGGGGCATATCTGGACAATAATAAAAGCTGAAAATCTGAAGCCACATACCCACAAATCAGGGATGGACAGGACAATAGTGTAATAACCTCTTTTATAGAGATAAGAAATTATACTAAACTACATATTGTACATGCTATACGAGAGAAAGTGTTACATATTAAACCTGTTTATATACTAAAATATAAAAATACTAGAGAACACGTTTCACCGCCGCTTTATGACAGAAGGGAGATTTACAAAGAACTGTGCATAGATTGTACAAAATATATGCAGCATATACATATCATGAAACAGAATGGGTTGTCTTGCTGTGTCTGGAACAAACATGCAGCAAATGAAAGTCAGAGAAATGTCTGGGAACAAAGTTCCTGATCTTTGTACCCAGTCAATAAGTCAGAATGTTGAACCCATAGCATTAGTATGCCAGCCAGGCAACTAGCATTTTCATCAGAATTTAGTATAGCAGCCTACATATTTCTCTCACAACAGCTTTCATTTAAGGCCTCATTTACACAGTGTAGAGTCAAGGGCAGTAGCAATTATGACCAGCTTTCATTGGGCCATCCTTCAACAGCAATCCTCTCAAAGGCATTTAGAAGATTTCTGAATAATCAGTTGGCAACATCTTTTGCATAAAGTTGGCCTGTGTAATTGCATCAATGTTGCTATGGGCCTGCTTCTGGAGAGCCATTGGCTCGTCCATCGCACTAAAAGCTGGTCTGCCACTCAATGTAAGCTGGGGTCATTGCTGCCAAATGATGTTTACACAAAGCCACAGCAGACTCCCAAACTGGCAAATTATGTTTGGACACATGTGGGGCTCACTCAGGTGAAATCCCCTCCGACCACAGAATCTCTCTCATTCAAGCAATGTCTTTAAAAAAAATATATTTGCTGATGTACACTCATAAGTCCACGTTAATATGCACAGATTCAGCTAAATAATGAACTTTTATTTTTCTGCTTACACATTTTCACAGTGCTCAAGTTTAGGGCTAGTACACACCAGAATTTTACCACGATTGATGCGCTTTTTGTTGTTTTTGGGGGGCTTATGTTTTTTTTGCTTAAAATGGGATTTCAGGTGCATTCCAGTGTGTTTGCATGCCTTCCGTTGCGAACTGATTGTGCTAAAATAGGGCAAGAAGTATTTTTTCTGGCTGAATCAAAACGGACTTCTCTGGTGTGAACAGAGCACTAGAAAACCTGTAGGAAAACATTGTGATGCGTATTTGATGCAGCTCAAAAATGGAACGGACTGCATCTGGTGTGAACTACCCCTTAGGTTTGCTGTCTTTTTAAACATCACATGTACACACTTGCCACACACGGTGCACTTGTCTTTCAGTGGCACTTGTAATAAAATGCATACACATTTCATCAGAAACAAAAATTACTTCTCAGCAGGGATCAAAAGACTCCAAATAGATGGAATTCCTGTTTGGCCAGCATCCTCCACCAATTGTGAGATTCAGCTTCAAAAGGAGAATTTTACAAGGACACAATCCACTCAGCAACCTGCACTTTGTGGTTTCTGGCCCACTTTTGTTCATCAAAACATCAAAGTAGCAGTGTTCTCCGGCGCGCACAATTGTATTTCAGCTTATCATGGATTGAGGTCCTGAGGGTAATGGGACATAGGAAACTGCACCGGCCAGTTTCCTTTGTCCCATTGGCATCCATCGCACATCCCAAGAAATTGACCAAAACGCTGGTGAATTATAGCGAGAGCCCAAAGTTCCCCAATCCAGACACCGGAAGCAACTTATAGCTGGTGGTATTCTGCATTGTGCTGTACAATGTACTATTGCTGGGTTTTGTAGTCCTCTATAGCCGATGTCATTCTGCATTGATTGCTGTATAATTTTACACTTTCCATTTCACTATATTGCACACCACACTTTTGTTTTCTTTTTTACTTCCACCGCTCCAAGCTTGCTCCTGTGATGGACTACACTCAATACAAACTAGTAGTCCATCACTGGAGCCATTTTTTAGAATGTATTTTATGTTTTATCCGATTAACCGATTAATCGAACTTAATAATCGGCTAACTAATCGATTTTGAAAATAATCGTTAGCTGCAGCTCTAAACTGAAAACAATGTGCACACACTATTATCCAAGCTGCCACTTCTCAGATCTTGCAGGCTTGTGAGAGACCTTGCTCCTGACACCTTCAGTCAGTACACTGTTCTCTCCAGCAGACTGGCACACAATCTTTTGTAGACCACACACACTGCTCTCACTGGCAATTACAAGTTAGCTAAACCAGGCAAGATTACTTTTAGAGTTAGTACAAACACCCACTCAAGTCTCTTCACTAATTTTAATTTGCATGCAATCAG